GTCCCATCTTGGAAGCAGGGACCAGGCCCTCACCAGACCCTCACCAGACACCTAACCTGCCAGTGACTTGATCTTGGGCTTCCCAGTCTCCAGAACTGTGAGAAATACGTTTCTATTCTTTATCAATTATTCAGTCTCAGGTATTTTGTCATAAGAGCATAAACTGACTAAGCCACTGCTCAGAAGAATGTAGCTATTTCTCCCCAAAGGATACTCTCAATGCTGCACTAGGGTGCTTGGAACAAAATGGACAAAGAGGAGATGGAAAAGAAAGAGTGGAGGTTTTGTAACATGCATACTACTTAAGGGAAGAATGGCATATTGCAAATTTTAATTTGAGAAAACAGAAGTGTTTCATACACCACTTCCTTCAAATAAAAAATTATTTAAATAGGTGGATTTTTCTCACATTGTAAGAAAATCGTAGTGTCACTCTTAACTTCTTAATTGGAAATACTCTGAGTTAATTTCTGGGCTCTAGACACCAAATGATAGACACCAATTGACAAATAAAACAATTCTGAAAACCTGAAACCATCAATCCTGTTTTCTCCCCTTGTGTTTCCTTTCTGGTCTCTCCCCAGAGAGCATTATAATTCTCCTTAAGGACTGTGGCCAGTGATGGCAATGTGGATCTAAACTTCTCTTTGACTAGGGAATGAGCTATTATATTACACGGTAGCCACATTTTGTTCTGAGGACTTACTTGTGTTTTCTAAATTTTTGTGAATGTAGAGTTTGTGCTTGTGGTGCGTATTTGTCATTCACTGTAGCTGGCACTTGAATGATCTTCCTATGTTTGATCAATTTTCCTGTTCTTGGGGTGTCTACTTCTCCCCCAAGAAAAGCCATAAAAATCACCTTCCTACCTAATTAATCAGCTTTTATACCATGACAAAAACTCCAAAATCTCAGGGGCATACAACAAATGTTTCCACTCAGACATCATGCCCTTGGCTGCAGATAGGCTGCTAGGATCCCAGTCTACATGTCTTCTCATGCAGGACTCAAGCTGAAGCAGGAGCCTCTCTTTGTGATATGCCTTTATTGTGACAATGAGAAAACAACAAAAGGTGGTACAAACATGCAATGTCTCTTAGAGCTTCTGTATGGAACTGAAACACTTCCCTCCATTCCTATTTCAATAACCCAAGATGGTCATATAGCCAAGTCTCATAATGTCTTAGAAAGCATTTTCCAGCTGTTGGGAAGCACTGTGGGTCATGAGGCAATGGATGAGATTGTATGCTCTCCTCACAAAAAGGGAGAAAATAGATGGGAATAATCACCCACCATGGGAGAAGGCATTTTGTCTAAGTGCTGTCAATCATGTGCACCTGCAGGAAGACAATTCAGAAGCTAGGAATATAAAAGCAAATATGCCACTTTGAATCATTCTGTTGAAGAGTGCTGACAGAAGAGTAAATCCTCCAGAGGTATCAGGGGCAGAGATTCTAGTGTCAGTCTCTGCACCCAGGTTTAGAAGTGAGATCCGAGTTATCTATGCTCAATGGAGGCAGTAGTGATAGCTCCATCAGAGTGGATCTATGGGGTAATTTGATGATGTTCCTGCATACATCATACATCATCAGTGGACTACCAAATATTCTTTAATAAGTCCTTTTTGTGCTTAAAATAGGTTTCTGGTGTTTTCAACTCTTGTTTTTAGTAGGCATTTTGATTGACTGGCTCTTCCCTCGGTTGTCTGCTATTCACATGGCAATGAGTTAGGCCAAATCCCTACAAACACATTTTATACTCGATAAGAAGACTATATAATTTAGTATTTTCCACTATAGACAATATGCCTTCTTTTCCAGTACCTTCTGAACAATTATATAGCTGGCCACAAAACAGTTTCCCAAAGGATAAGTTACAATGGCATTTTTAAAACTCTTATTGCATCGTGGTTATAAAATGCTAACAAACCTAAATAAATTATATATATATAGAGAGAGAATTTCAATTAAATTAAGTAATTTCAGGAGAAAATCAAATTTAAAACTGTGCTTACATTTACTTAATAACAAATGATAATTAAAGCACCATGATGACTTATGGTATATAGCCTGACTTATATTTAGGGAAAACTTTACACTCCTCAGTCAGTGCAAGAAGAAAGAAAAATAAGATAATAAATATAAGTAAAATAAATCAAGAAAAAATAATACAGATAAAATCAGAAAAAAAATGAAATAACAAGTTAACAGGTTCTTTGAAAGGAACAATCAACTAGACAGATCTTTGGAAAGAAAGATATGTCGCTCAGAAAAAAAATAATAAAGTAGCGGTAAATATAAAATATCAGGGATTAGAATCAAGGAAAAAACTCAGAAGTAGAGACAAATAAAAATAAAAATAATTATTTGTGTAATTGTTCATAACTATGAAGACACTGATACTTTGAGAATTGTAACTTACTGAAACAGATTTGACATTTAAAGAACTTGAATTAGACATCAAATACAAGAACTTATAAAGCTACTTCTTGTTTTAATCTAATATAACTCTGATGTCAAAACCAATAACAGTATTTGGCTTGTTCTGCTTCCCACCGTACAAAGGTCTTGCTGTTAGTTGTGTGTAACTATTAACAATTGCTATTGTAATATACATCTATATTCTGATATATACCTTGTTATTTAGTTATTTTTATGTCTGTCTCAGGCACACACACACACACACACATATATGTTGTCATTTTCCTGTCCATGGCATCTCACACTGAAACTGCCCCACCACATCCTTGCTAGATCTTCCTGTTACTGTTCCTTTCATCTGCTTCTGAAATTATTCTCTCTTTTCTACTTCCTGCTTCTCAATTTCTTGGAATACTTAAACCCTAATATACAATCTAGGTGACAGCCTCAACCCAGAAGCACTTTCAGAAAGGTTCTCCACCACCTCCAGACAGAATGCTGTGTTTTAATTTCTAGATTCATCACCCTTTCCAATCCCTGACCTCCTTCCTCTGCCAAAGTGAAAGTGGTAACAAAGTCCTGCAGATTTGCCCCTCTAGGCAGGAATTTCCTCTCTCTTAGCCAAGGCTAGCACTGAGCAGATAGGGAAGGGAGGCCCTAACTTCTCCTGCTTGGACTCCTGGGAGATGTCAGTTTTGCCTTCTGGAAACTGAAAACAATCTGGAATAGCAGAAACAGGAGGTATTAACTCCTTCATAAGAGGTCCAGTAGGAGACTTTCAAGGTGGAGTGGGGTATCTATCCATGGTCTAGGCTCCTACCCTCCTCCTTCCACCCCTAGCAGGTTCTCCTGATGACTGACATGCCACTAACACAGGCAGCTATTTCTTCCCCTTTAAAGCCTTCAAGCCTAAGATTATATTCTTCAAGCCTAAGATTGTACAGAACTAACTGAGGGTGTGGCTCATACTTCCTCAGAAAGAGTAAGAGAAGAAAATAAACTAGGGGTCTCTAAGCAAAAATGTTGCATGACATGCAATATAGTCAGTCTCTGGTCTCTTTCCAGAATATCAGACCTCAGATTTCTACTAACTCCCTAACTCTTCCTTAGTCCTATTTATTCAGTGCCTATATCTCTTTCCCTGTTCCCCAAACAGTTCTCAGTTCTTGCTTCTCCTGTGATGCTACTCCTCCCCTACAGCACAGATGGGCACCATCCTACAGTCAGCCACTCATCTTGTTGTCCTGTTCTATCTTGGATTCAGGGAAGAGGGTTGGGGTCTGCAGCTACAGCTGTGGAATTTGTCCAAGACAGAGCCTCACGTGGACACACCTGTCTCACAGCAAACAAACAAACAAACAAAACACTCTGAAGATATCTGTAAAGGAAAGCTTCTATGCCTTGGAAGTAAACTGATCTGTCTTCAAAAGCCCTCTCTCCAGCCTTCCCCACATGAATACAAGCCCCCGCCCCCAGTTACCCTGATTGCCAGGGTTCTTGACAATCGGTCATAGTTACAAATTTCACCTTACACATGAAAATGATCTTCCCATTAACTGTTTTAACTTCACAGAGATTCCAGAGCAGTACAACCAACTTGACCTTCAGCTTCTTAAAGGCAGAGACTATATGTACCATAGTTGTAATCCCAGCACCCAGTATAATATTGTCAAAAAACTGATGTTAAATAAATGTTTAAAATGGCTTATTTCAATTAATTAATTCATTATTCTATTAGAGCAGCCATTTCTCCAAAACTGGGTGAGACAGACTGTCCAGCTCAGACCTAAGATACTTTTGTCTTTCCTCATAGTCCTATGTGTTGCAGGAAATTTCTGGGCCTCACCCTTCAGAATTTTAATCATGGCCTGCGCTCAGACACTGGCATGAGCATTCTGGAGTCTCTGTCCTAACAACTAAGATATTATATAATTTGGAACCGAGCTTCAATTGGAGGATTTCCTGGTTATTTTCTACGCAGATAGGAGGTGCCTTCACTTGCTTATTAAAACCTAAGTGTCAAGAGAAGGACAAGGCCCTGGGAGTACAAAGAAAAACCCAAATCACTGTCTTAAGTAACAATTTTTGTGTGTGCGTGCATGTGTCTATGTGTTTGGGTGAGGAAGGGATACCAGTTGTTTAATATTTTTTCTTCCTGTTTTAATGACAATTTTTGACCAGGGATTCAATTTCTCCATCAACTCCCGGTCTCTGTTGTCTGTTTTTACCTTTTAAAGTGTATGGCGGCAATAGTGATGACAAGCTGGTTACTTAAGTATTGAAGTGTAAGAGTATGCCAGGAAAAAAGAGAGGGTTTTGTTTGTTTAAGAACCCAGTACTTGCAGCCTGGAACCATGAGAGGTCGCGAATATTGCCAGGAACAGCAGAGTCCACACCATATGTGTGCCCAACCCTATGCTAAGCTGGGTCACAGAACGAGACGTGGCCAATCTCAGGCTTCTGAGTTTAACAAGACAAACTGGCAAATGAATAGCCACCTGAGTCTCTCAATGCACAGCCTGGGGGGTATCATTCGGGAGCCTCAATCCTTTGACCTATCCTGGAACTAACTTCTGGAACCCTCTACAGTTTAAGGGAATCTTGAGTGGGTGAAGGGACCAGAAAAACCCAGGAAGTAGAGAAAAAGCATTGACATGCCTAGAAGCGCCTGAACTCCCATCTCATCACCAATTGGCTAGGGTTACCCTGGTCACTGCCTGTGATTGGCTGCCCCCACAAACACACCGCCCCCTGGGCGAAGCCATCCTGGGCCCAGCCGGCCGCTCATTGGCTGCCGTCCTGCTACCGGGGCCTGGAGCCGGGTGTAGTATCCTAGGAGCTGCGGGCTACCGGGCCTGCACTGCCGGGCTTTGGGCTCTGGGCCTCCGGCGCTCTCTGGCCCTAAGTGCTGAGCTGCTGGGAGCGGCCGCTTCTGACGCTGGGCCACTGGACGCTGCGGAACCGGGCTTCTTCACTTTGAATTTCTGCCGCGAAGCGCCAGTCCGGGCCCAGGAGGGAGGTGGGTAGAGAACTCTGCCTTTTCTGAAGTCAGATCCTGCAAGCTCACTTTACCCCGACCCGCCCGCTGTCCTGGGGACCTGCCCAAAGCCCTGTGGCGAGGCCAGGAGCTTACTGTCCCCAGCTGCTCCCTGACTCCGGAGGTTACCGCCCGCCCCTCTACCCCCTTCCCACTGGGGTCCTCCCTGGAAGTCTTCCAGGCCCCGCCCCCTTCTCAAATGCCCGTCTCAGACTCTCACTGTACCCTACGGAAGGCACAGTCAAAGCAACCGAACGTTTAATTATTTGAATTTTCTCAAAGTAATTCATGTATAATAAAAAGTCAAACATTGAAGCTGGTCTTATTTTGAAGAGCAGTGCCTACCCATCCCCAGATCTTTGCAGAGGCTGCCACTTTTAATTTTTCCCCATTTAGATGTTTTCATCACCCTAAATCAAAATAATGTGCGTTCCTCTGTATTTCTGGATTTATCATTTTGATATTTCTTTGCCTTACTTTCCTACTGCCACAATCTTGTCAATTTTCTATCGCTATTTTAGGTCTTCCATTTGTAGCTTTAAATAATAGGTATCAATTTCCATTTATTGTTCTATTGACTTTAGCTGGTGTCTCTTAATGTCTCTACTGCCTTAGCTAAGGATATTAACACATCCTCCACTTAGTCAATCTATCAGTTGGAACTCAACATTTACATTTAGTTTTCACGTATTCAACAGGTATTTGAGGCACTGTTCTTGGCATTGGGGAAATAGAAATGAACAAAACAGACAATGACCCTATCTATCTGCATGAAAAAGTTCTAGTATGGGAAGTAAGACAATAGACAAATACATGGCAAATGACGTCAAAAGCAGGATCATGCAGAAGTTATTTTCAACTGGGAGAACAGCAGGAACCCAAGTCAGGTAGATTTAATGGACGAGGAGTTTGCAGGAGTGTGCGGAAGTTTATTCCTTTGCCTAACTGGACACAGGTGCTGTTTCAAGGAGAGATCTTGTTAACCGGGAGCCAGGATAGATTCTTTAGTAAGTTAGTGATTTACCAAAAGGAGGTTTTAGGATACTGGATCCCACAGTTTGGTAGTGATAGTGAGAGGAAGAAAAGCAGGAGGCAGGGAATCTAGTGAGAAGGCACACGCTGCCAGTGGCATATCAGAGTCCTGCAAAATTTACTGCCCTGCTTCCTGCTTCCTGCTACTGGACTGCCCTAAACCATAGTGATTTTTCTCTCTCCTTTTGAATTTGTATTATACCTTAAAGCTAAAGAGGTTAAGAAATTTGCCCAAGATAGATGGCAGAGCCCCAAGCCAAACATCTGTAAAATGAGAACAATAATGGTCTCTGCCTAGGGTTGTGAAATAAACCAACTTAATTCATGTAAAGTGCTCAGAACAGTGCTTGGCACATCATATAAGTGCTCAAAGAGTGCTTGCTTTTATTATTAATGTATGCTCTCAATTTACCTCACAAATTCTAAAAGGATTTTGGGTTTAGGAACTATTTTCTATGTCTAGCTGGTTTATTCATTCAACAAATATTTACTCAGCAATATCTGCATTGCAGGTGCTGTTTAGGTGCTGAGGGTACAACGGGAACTAGGACCAACATGGCCCTTCCTTGTATAGACTCTAGCTGGTAACACAAGCTAGCAAAGTGAGTGAATAAATATTGCCACCTGAGCCAAGAGCCTGCCATTGACCATGACCATTTTGTCATGCCCATACGTGGCCCTGACAAAAATCTCAGATTTCTTGCTGGAGTAGTGATTTAATCAATATGGGTGTGATGATCATCAAATGATCTTTGTTTTAATCTCCAAGGGATGTTATTTCGTCTCTGCTTGTAACATACCACTAAAAGCTCAGAAGAATGTCTTGGCATCTTGGTGAATAATAAGTACATTAGTGCTGGAGCAGTGGGCAGGGGTTTAAAAGGCACAGGAAAAGAACTGCTGTTTCCTTTACAGTTTTTACATTTTAGTGTGCAACACAAGAAAACAAATTGAGCGTGTAGGCAATGGGCTTCTGGCATACTACCTTTTGACACTTTGAATTGTATAAATGTAAATATAAAGATACCAGAGAGTGAGGCTGGAGGTATTTATGGCCTTACTTCAGATACTGAAATACCACATTTTATGTGAACTTACCCAAGTTTAAGAGAAATAATGCTGATTTGTAGAGCATAATTGGAATGGTAATGGTCTAGTAGAACGAACCCAGAGGAGAATCAGAGTTGGCCAAGTGAATGAAGACTGAGGACTCCCAATATTCACTCACTTAGGCATCCCCATTATCCCCTTCATGATGTGAGTAATGTGACCCATTCAGACCATGCACCCTTCAGTTGGAAAGGCGAATGCTTACTAAAGAAGGTCAGTAAAGGGTCAAAAGGAAGGTGGTTTTTCCCCAGAAATTAATTATTCCTGTTACTGATCTCTCTGTTCCCCTGTTACCTTTTTCTCTTATTTGTCTTTCTTTTCTTCTTCTCAGCCTTTACCACTTCTCCCTGATTTCATTCATGTTCTGAGGAGGGTGTGAGAAGGAACCATGGATCCCACAGCCTTGGTGGAAGCCATTGTGGAAGAAGTGGCCTGTCCCATCTGTATGACCTTCCTGAGGGAGCCTGTGAGCATTGACTGTGGCCACAGCTTCTGCCACAGCTGCCTCTCCGGACTCTGGGAGATCCCAGGAGAATCCCAGAACTGGGGTTACACCTGTCCCCTCTGTCGAGCTCCTGTCCAGCCAAGGAACCTGCGGCCTAATTGGCAGCTGGCCAATGTTGTAGAAAAAGTCCGTCTGCTAAGGCTACATCCAGGAATGGGGCTGAAGGGTGATCTGTGTGAGTGCCATGGGGAAAAGCTGAAGATGTTCTGCAAAGAGGATGTCCTGATAATGTGTGAGGCCTGCAGCCAGTCCCCAGAGCATGAGGCCCACAGTGTTGTGCCAATGGAGGATGTTGCCTGGGAGTACAAGGTGAGAGATGGAAGCTGGCCACTCCAGTCTTCCCCCAGCGCCAACTTGGCTATTACTAGATCAAGGGCTTGACCACCAGCATCACAGACTGCGAGCTGATTCCTTTGGTTCCTGACACCCACAGATCCTGGAATCTGATACAGGGAGCTATACCTTTCCTTGTATTCATGACCTTCCTTGATTTCCTGCCCTCCCACTTCCTCTACACCCCATCCCATATCCTAACATGGCTCAATGCCTAACCCAAGGCTGATTTCAATACTGAGAATGTAAAGGAAATCAGTTTGGGTTTTAACTAGATTCTGAATGCCTTGGATGAGTTTAGGCATGAGGCTCTTGTATAGATGGTCAAGGCTACACCTGACCTGCAAACTCCTCCTGGCAATGCTGCAAGTAGTCATTTGGCATTGAATGGACCACTTACTCCTTCATTTTATAGACAAAAGTGAGGCTTAGAAAGTTGAAAACATGGTAATTTATTTTAGAGGTGGAAAGAACTATGGGTGAATCACAGGAGTGAGAGAGGTCATCTAATCTAATCTTCTCAGGTCCTTTATGAGTTCAGGTCCAGTTAGCGAAAGGAAGATCAGAGGCTGTGACTCAAGTCTTCTTGCTCTTTCTCCTCTCCCAAGTTTGTTTATTTGACAAGTCATCTCTGACAAACCTGGGACTCCTTTTTTGTACCTTACCTCATCAACTTCCAGCTTCTGGTCTTCTCTTTACTCTTCCTCAGATGCCCATAATGACACCTTTATCGGAACCATTATCTCAGTGATTCTGTGATCCAGTGATCCAGCATTGGTCTTAATTCTGTTTTTTGGAGTTGAAATAGGAAGGTGAGAGTGTAAGACAAATACCCTGAATAGCTTTTTTCCTATATGGGAGGGATTTCTAAAATATGAAAAGTGTTTACTAACTCATTCTGTTTTTGAGAATATTAGAAAAGGGAGATAGTATAACACAGGGGTAAAGGGCTGGATTAAATCCCAGCCCAACCATTTATTACCTGAATGACTTTGGGTAGGTCACCCTCTAAGCCTCAGTTTTCTTGTCTATAAAATGAGGTTAATACCAGGCTCAGGGGATTGTAAATATCACATCCATATTTAGAGCTTAAAATATACCTGGCATTTGATAAATTTTAACAAAATAATTGCTATTTTGTTAAAATAGCAGAATTAAATGGTGTGTCTGCATACTTTGTGTTTTTCAGTAGAAATCCCTTGCATTACTATTCTAGGAAAGTGCTGCTTACCCTTAATATGCATATGAACCACCTGGGAGATCTGGCTAAAATTGAGATTCTCATTTGGTAGGTCTAAGGGGAGGCCAAGATTCTGCATTTCTAACAAGCTCCTAGGTGATGTGGATGCTGCTGATCCACTTGAACCACATTTGGAGTAACAAGGTTCTGGCAGACAGCAAGATAAAAATAAATAAGATAAGGATAAAAATTGACATGGAAAGGAAAGTCCAAGGTACTTTTCTGGAGAGGCTAGAAATGGACGTTTTCTTCCAGTTTACAGACATTTAGAGACTGTGGGAGTTGAAATTATTCTTGGCCCAGAGAGCTACCTTGGATGTCATCTGGGCAGAGTCTACTTCCTCTGTCGCACTCCTTTCCCCACAGCCTTCACTGTGGCCAGTTGCCTGAAGGACTCTGGTTCTCCCACAGCCTCCCAATGCTAGGAAGCCTAGGCTGCTGGAGGTGGCCTCATGAGGGTTTTGTCTCTTGCAGTGGGAACTTCATGAGGCCCTCGAACATCTGAAGAAAGAGCAAGAAGAGGCCTGGAAGCTGGAAGTTGGTGAAAGGAAACGAACTGCCACCTGGAAGGCAGGTTGCCTCGTGGGGAAGAGAGTTTGTGTCAGTCGTCCTGTGTGGTCCTGGAGCTGGCCTGGGGTGGCATTCTTATCTCTGTGAGGCAGAATGTAAGGCTTGAAATCACAGAGCCTGGGGTTCTAATCCCTGCTTTCTCTGTCCCAGGCCTTAGGTAGGCCATGTCACCTCTTAATTCCAATTTCTCCTTGGTGATGTAGGGATAACCTCTGGTCTTGTATCCTCATATATGAGAAAGGGAAAGCACGTGCTCACATGTGTCAGCTCACAACGGTGTGGCTTATATCATGCTTAGTAAAGCAGAATTTCTCTTTCACTTTCCCAAGTTAGAGCATATTTGCTAAGAGTCTGGTTATTAAAATATTGGAAAATCACCTCTGAAATAAATTTGAGGCCAATAAGTATCAAACTACTAGAACTTTTGATCAGCAGAAAGTAACACTGAACCAATCTAAAACAGCACATTGAACAGATATAATATCAACATGAAAATGAACCACCTAACAGTGTAGTTAAGTTACACTGCCTTACAGACTTAAATGTAACACATCTTGTCATTATTCTGAAAATGGAAAATAGTCTAGAGCTTGTAGCATTTAGATAATATCCTGGACCCTACTGGAGTCAGTAAGAGTGACAATAGAGACTTAGAAGCGTGTGGTGGAGCTGGAACAGGAAGCTAGGAAAAATAGTATCCTTTATCTTTGCCCCCACATAGCCTGTCACATGGTTGGTACCACTGCAGAGTATGTGTGTATGCATATGTCAGTATGCTCAATACTGGGTAACTGAAAGTATCAGTGCTGATTTCCATCTTGGCTCCACAGATACAGGTGGAAACCCGAAAACAGAGTATTGTATGGGAGTTTGAGAAATACCAGCGATTACTGGAGAAAAAGCAGCCACCACATCGGCAGCTGGAGGCAGAGGTAACAGCAGCTCTGGCCAGCCTACAGCAGGAGGCAGCGGAGACCATGCAGAAACTGGAGTTGAACCATAGTGAGCTCATCCAGCAGAGCCGGGTCCTGTGGAGGATGATTGCGGAGTTGAAAGAGAGGTCACAGAGGCCTGTCCGCTGGATGCTGCAGGTGAGTAGCAGGTTTTCCTGGTAACCCTGAGTGATAGCTGAAGATAGACTGAGACTCCAGGAAAGAGCATCCATTACTCTTCAGTAGGGACTGCCAGCACTCTGCCAGCTGATCATGGATCCTGTGTTTCCCCAGCGAATACCTGCTGTTTCCCTCTCCCTGGCTGGTGGATGACCTGGTCTGTTGTTGTGTCATAGGTGGGACAGTGCTCAGGCAGCTCTAGCATCATTCTAGGCCCTCTCCTCTAGCCTGAGAGTCTTGAGATGGAGCCTGAAGTTGGCCAGTTCAGCCAAAGCTCAGCCTGCTCTTCCATCCTTCCATACGCTTCTCCTTACCTCTGCATGGCATCTCTCCATTCTTGGTATCTGTCTCCCTTCCCGTAGAGAAACTCCCTGCCAGTTTGATGTCTGTTCCCTCCGAGGAATAGCACATACTCAGGTGTTGCATTTTTTTTCTCCTCCTAGGATATTCAGGAAGTGTTAAACAGGTATGTTCTCACCCTTGGAGCCTCTAAGCAGCCCTGTAGGGGATAGTGGGGCCTGGCTGGAGCCAGAAGTAGGGACAGAGCACAGACTCGATGCACACAGAAAAGCAGGTGCTGGTCCACAGTCTCGTCCCACTTACCTGGTAATGGCTAAGGAATCTTTGTTGATCTTTCCTTTTTCTTCTTTGTACTTTATCAAATGTATATCAAGTGAAGCTATAAAATATGTGGTTTCAAGTCGATTGCTCAAAGAGGAAAAAAGACTGCCCATGACTCCTTCGTGTCCAGCAGAAAATATGTGCACTTCCTCCTCTCCCAGAATCAGATATACATCCAACCCTTCCCACAGCATGGGCATGCGGGTGTTCTCACCTCCGCACACAAACAGCTTGAGGCCCAGCCAAATAACCATAACCATCATGTCACTGCTTTGCTGGGGTGGGGCACTTCACTACGTCCCTGGCCAAGCCCCTCTTCTCTGTACTGAGATAAGGCCCATGTGGCAAAGCCAGGACTCCTGGCCCTGAGGTTCACCCTCCTCTACCAGGAGCAAATCTTGGAGCTTGCAGCGGCCAGAACCAATCTCCCTGGAGCTGAAGACAGATTGCCGTGTGCTGGGGCTAAGAGAGATCCTGAAGACCTATGCAGGTAATGGATCCTGGGGGAAACTGTAGTGGACAGTCGGAGGGACCCCTCCCAGGGAAAGAAAATGGTTCAGTGCCCTCTGGATGCTCCATCCAGCCTCACCCACTCATTATTGAGAAATCTGTGGCTGAATTTATCAGACAGCCCTCACCCATGCCCCCTGCCCCTATATCACTGTGACCAACCAGGACCTTTTTTTCTAGCTGATGTGCACCTGGATCCAGATACTGCTTACTCCCGTCTCATCGTGTCTGAAGACAGAAAACGTGTGCACTATGGAGACACCAACCAGAAACTGCCAGACAATCCTGAGAGATTTTACCGCTATAATATTGTCCTGGGAAGCCAATGCATCTCCTCAGGCCGGCACTACTGGGAGGTGGAGGTGGGAGACAGGTCTGAGTGGGGCCTGGGAGTATGTAAGCAAAATGTAGACCGGAAGGAGGTGGTCTACTTATCCCCCCACTATGGATTTTGGGTGATAAGGCTGAGGAAGGGAAATGAGTACCGAGCAGGCACTGATGAGTACCCCCTCCTGTCCTTGCCAGTCCCTCCTCGCCGGGTGGGAATTTTCGTGGATTATGAGGCCCATGACATTTCCTTCTACAATGTGACTGACTATGGCTCCCACATCTTCACTTTCCCCCGCTATCCCTTCCCTGGGCGCCTCCTGCCCTATTTTAGTCCTTGCTACAGCATTGGAACCAACAATACTGCTCCTCTGGCCATCTGCTCCCTGGATGGGGAGGACTAAGAGAGCTATCATCCTAACCAGAGAGCCCTTGGAATTGGGCCTGGCCCCCATGGGGCTTGGAGGACCCAGCCACTGACAGGTATCCCCTGAAACTGACGTGAGCTCAGAATCCAAGGATTCCTCTGTCTGATCCTTTGGTCATTGCTACCAGGCTAAAGTCTGTCATGAAACCACTTATTTTAAAAAGCAGAGGCCCAGTCAAATGAGCACTACACCCCATGAGGAAAGCGTGACAGGGCTGATGGTGAGGATCAGAGCAGTTCTAAGGTGACTTGTTGGGGTAAGGATCAGGACTTTGTCCGTGGAGTAGCCAACGCTCCTCTTCCCTGATTCCTGTCCGGTGTCACAGTTAAGTCAGTGAGGATGATGAAGTAGACACAATCTTCAGGACACCATTAGATAGGCTTTCCCAATAGGCCAAAAAAATGCTGCCCATACCCAGAGCTGGTTGTTGTGCTGAGGCCAGTCAGAGGATGCTTCCCCTGAGGTTTGCTACAACTAAGCAACCTTTATGTGACCCTCACTCTCTTACCACCTGGCAAGAGAAATTCAGTGCAGCAGGGGGACACTGACCCACCCAAGCCACCCCACTGCCGTTCCCTCTCTGAGCACAACCTGGGCAAATCACTGTCCCTTGGACTCCTGGGAGACCAGTGTCCTAGTCCTGCTTTTTTTCTCTAAGTGGCAGGATCAGAAAACCTGTGAGCCTTAGTTTGTATTTTCACTTTATGAATGAGGAAACTGAAATGACCTTAATGGAGCAAGTTATGTCTTTTTTTGTTGTTTTTTTTTTTTGAGATGGAGTCTCACTCTGTCACCCAGGCTGGAGTACAGTGGCACAATCTCAGTTCACTGCCAGCTCCACCCCCTGGGTTCACACCATTCTCCTGCCTCAGGCTCCCAAGTAGCTGGGACTACAGCAGGCACCCACTACCACACCTGGCTCATTGTTTTGTATTTTTAGTAGAGACGGGGTTTTACCATGTTAGCCAGGATAGTCTCGATCTCCCCTCGTGATCTGCCCACCTCGGCCTCCCAAAGTGCTGGGATTACAGGCATGAGCCACCATGCCTGGCCGCTGGAGCAAGTTATTTCTTACAAAGCTGCTGAAGATAAGATTATAAAAATTATAAAGCATTTTTCACACTCATATGAAACAAGGTTGACAAACTCACTTCACAGGTCACATGCCTGTACATCATTTATTATATTTGGGTCTGAAACTTCTCACGTGTTTGGAAGGTTTTATGTGTCCTCATTGGGAAAATGGGTGTAATTCAGCATAAAACCTCATATTATTGTCCTGCCTCATGGAACTGTTGTATAGATCCCAGATCCATCCCATGCATTTGTTCCGTCTGAGGCACAGAGGCAGGCAAGCCACAGATTTTGCACGTGGTGACCTTGCCACTGTGCCACGATACAGCCCGCATCTTATAGCAGTGTCTTTGTCTCAGGGCCTCTCCTGACAGTCTAGAGTCTTTCAGGCAGAAATGTGCTTCAAATGGCTGTGATAAGGAATACTAAAAATTGTGTTTCTACTTTAATTGTATTATATTGGCTGTTCACATATGTAGGAGTTAAAACAGGCCAAACTTGGAGAAATAAACTCATTCTGCCCACCATGCTTCCAGGCTGCATCTTGAGAATTAGCAGTAGAAGGGGAGAAGTTTCCATCATCTGCTTGGAGGGGAATGAGCTGGTGAGTCACAGACCCTGGTGCTGGCAAAGGGTTGAGCCTGCCACCGTTAGAGAAGCATCTTTGTCGGGGGATTCCCTGGGGATAATTGAGAAGTAGGTCCCTAGGAAGGACTTCAGTTAATGTCTGTGGACACTTGGCACAAAAGGGTTAAGGAAAAATCAATGTTGTTCTTTCGCTATTAGGACAAATCTTGGAAGTTTCCTAGAAACGGAGGATTGTTAGGTGATGAATTCATTCAAACTTAGAATGAAGGAAGGAATGAAATGGCGTCATTGGTAATGTACTCTTTTAGGTTAGTTTGATTGTTTTTTACATTTATAAGCCTGTTTGGGTACTCTGATTACTTGTTAGAAGAGTTGTAAGGTTAAATAATCCACATTATTACAGATTGTCTGATTTTTAAGACCAGACAAGAAGATTGAAGCTCTAAGTGCCTGAAAACCGTTTTCTACAGAGTAGTTGTTTACACTTCCCTCCTGAGAACCATATGAAAACAAGGACCTTATTTGTCTGTTCACCATTGTACCCCTAGTCTAGTACTGTGTGTATGTGCGTGTGTGTGTGTCTGTGTGTATTAAATATTTAAGTGAGGGAACTTTCATTCATAGACTAGAATCAAAACAAAAATAACCTGCTTTTATCTGAAAGGGGCAGTGAAAACTAGAGGATACCTAATTATGCTTCTGTTCAAATATGAATTTAATGGGTAATTTCTTTTACCGTACCTTTCATAAGTGGTCTAGTAGGGCAAGAGGCAGGTGTCACGTGGAGGTGGAGTCCCTGCACTGCTCCCTGCAATGCCTAGAGTGGCATCCCCAGTTTGGTGTAAGCCTTCACTGCAAGGCAGGGATGAGCTTTGCCTACCCTTGTTTTTCAGAGAAACTGGGAGAGGCAATACCTGAGCCTTAAGGGAGAAGGCTGCAAAGACGGTAAAATGCCAGGATACTGCAAAAAAAGAAAGAAAGGGAGACATGGGGCAAAGCCTTAGGTTCACAACTACCTACAGATAGGCAGTCTTCATTTGTTTCAATCAAGATTGGTTGTAATCTCTTAAAATCCAAACATGAAGGGTCTACTGTGCATCCCAGGCACTGGTTAAGAGAGCACACATTGCTTAATGTGATGGGCCAGGGGCAGTGTCTGAATGTATGGTAAGAAGCACAGGTGTTTCCATTTGGGGTAGCCATGGAAAGGAATCCGCACCCTTTGGGAAGTATGTGGTTCAGTAAATACTTGAGTACTAGCAGTGGGTTCCATCTGCTTTTAGAAAAAAAAAAAAAATGAGAATGAAACATAGACCTGGTAGGGCAAGCTTCCTGATGGAAATGCTGGGAAGAAATTAGTGTCTGGGGTGCAGGCTGGACTGTACCTTTGTTACTCTATATTAGGTTCTTTAATGCATCCAATATGCTTTCATTTCATGGACCTAGCCAATTTTTCAGGTTACTTATGGAGAAAGAATAATGTGACATTTCAAAATGAAAATCTTACCAAATGTGTTTAACAACCTTATAATCTTATAATCTTTTTATTTTAGTGTTATAACCTTATAATCTTGTTTAGTTTTTATGGTAGGGGATTGTGAGGGAAAAAAGTTTCACTTTACTACCCTTTGGGACCTCAGTGCATCATTATCAGATTTTTAAGAGGTTGATTTCTACTCTGCTGGTATTCAAAAATTGAATACATTCTTGGCAGGTAAACAAGTCTAATATTAGCAAAAGGTATGGATGTTAAGTTACTAAGGAGCTTGTCTATTTGAAAGAATTGTCATATGAGTACTGGTCTGTATAGGACTACTCCCTTGAAATTATGGAATTAGAAATGTATTGGGCATATTTTTAAGTTCATACAATATGTCAGAGATTGTGTTATCTGCTTTCCATGTTTTATTTATTTAATTTTTAATACTCTGAATTAATGTTGTTTTCTCTATCAATAGACAGGAGTGTTAAGACTCAGGTATAGTAACTTGCCATCAACAGATTCTTCTCACATTGTGAATTTTAACACTAGTAGGAAATTATCTTTTTATTAAGATTTTCAAATGTACGTATCTCTTATATATGAGATCTTTTTCTTTTAACATATACTGATTACTCAGTTCAAGATTTTCTGAAAGGGAAAAAAGCCAAAAATCATGTAAGCATCCAGTAACCTAAAGAAGAGTGCTTACATTTCAACTTCTTTATATTGTTCTCTATTAACCTCTTCATCCCAGAGCACATCCCCTGAGAGGTGCCCACAAGAAGAAAGACCTGTGTATATTTGATCCCTCTATTCTATGCCTTAAGGTTAAGTTATACAGATGGGGACTAGGAAGCAACAAGAAAGATTTCCAAAACCAAACTTGTATTAACTTACCTTCTGTTGCTTAAAAACAAAAAGCTGGTAATTGGTATACTAACTCTAACTAGCTTAACAATAGGATATACATTTAAAAGTTAAGTGGTATTTTATAGAACATAACAATATACCTGGGTGTCCAAAGTGATTTGGAATCAGAGAACCAAAGACTTTTTCTCCTCATCCATTCTTGGAGATTGGCCTTTGATGCATGGGCCAATCCCAATTTTCTCCTTCCAGTTTATGTGTTGTAGAATTACCACCATCTCTGATCCCAAGTTTATATCTCCCTAGATGAACAGTAAACCATATGGCTTGGGAAGGACCCTGGTCTAGGTGTGAACATAGAACCCAAATGGAGTGAGATCACTATTGGGCCAGAGGGCAGGGTCATATATTAATAGCTTCTTCCATGTAATCACTTGGAGAAAAGAACAGTTCTGAGAATATCAGTCAGTTTTCGGGGGAGATACCAAACACTTGGTTTCTTCAGCAGAGGGGATGGTAGGATAGTAGGTAGGAAATATGAGTCAGAAGCTGTAGAAGGAAAAATTCCAGAGCTGTATTCTATACCAAACTTACTCTGATTCAGACACTATTGTATTAACCCATTAAAAATGTCAGAAAATTAGAAACATTTCATTCATATTCTTGGTAGAAATTTAAAAGTGACACAAAGATATCCTTTACAGCTTCATCTTAGAATTCCTTATAGTACCAGGTAAACCAATCCCGCTCCACAAATCTCTAAGGCATCTTTGAAGGTGGCTGGAATGCTCCAGATCTGAACAGATATTGTGTTCATGAACCCAGGTTGGAGTGGTCAAAGAGGAAGTGCATCAGATAACTCCATATTCTCTCCTGCAGTTGTTTGGTCCTCATGCCATAGATGATGGGATTTAAGGTGGCAGGGGTGATCATGTACAGGTCAGCCAGCAGCACCTGGGTGTGCAAGGGCACTACATCCTGCCCCAGCCAGGCCGCATAGACAGATGCCATCCCAGGTAGATAGTACAAAGCCATTACCCCCACGTGGGAGCCACATGTGCTTAATGCTTTCAACTGAGCTCGTGGGAGCCACATGTGCTTAATGCTTTCAACTGAGCCACCCTTGAGGAGAGACCAAATACTGCCCTGAGATTTAAAGAGAGGATATAGCAGCAATGAAGACTACACCAGAGCCCACCATAACAGAGGAACCAATCAGACTATAGAGACTGGTTGGCATGGATCAGCACATGCTAACCTGGCCAAAGCTATGTGCCTACAGTAGGAGGAGAACCAAGCATTGGAGCCACAGAAAGGTAGATGACTACCATCCAACCCAGTGGAGCTATGAATGTGACAGCTCTAATGGTGATGGTCAGACTCATTCAGCATCACTTGAGGTGTGAGAATTCTCTTGGTGAGGCTTGCAGATGGCTACATAGCGGTCAAAAGCCATGGTTAGCAGCAGACCTGTCTCCACAACTGTGGCTAAGTGGACAAAAACACCATGGAAACAAACATTAGAGCCCATGGAACTGTCACATTGAGCAGAGACATTCACACCATCTTGGGTACCACCGAGGAGGCCATAACAATGTCCACAGCAGCCAGAACACACAGAAGGCAATGCATGGGCTCATGCAGAGTGGAATTCATCCAGATTTCTTCAGTCACTGATGAATGTGTTTAACAGGGCCATGATGTACATGAACTCTATGAGATAGCCAGACAAAAGATGTGAAGATCGCAGTCCTGGGATACCTATACAAGGAGGAGGGAAGGCAGGGTTTCCATTGTGTGGTTTTAGGCTGACCAGCATTACAGGTGAGAGACTTTCCTGTTAATGCATAGATGATGTAAAAGAACGATGCAGTCCTATAAGATTAGTTCTATTTTGTGATGTTGAGAAAACCTAGGGTTATTCTCAGCTTGGCATCGAGGATCAGAAAAATGACTTCTAATACTGTGCTACTTTTCATCCTCCTTTACAAGTTTCTCATTCATTGTTGAAGGATCGATTGTGAGTTCTTTCCTTTGGGATTTGTGTTCTGCCTCTTCCTCACTCAACCTTTATGCCCAGGTTAAGTTAATACCACTTTTAGTTTCCTGAAACTTCCAATAGGACTTAATCGACAATTCCAGCGCTATATGAGTTTGTGGTATGCACTAAGCATGTCTATTCATGGCCTTATATTAAGATTTCGTATCCAGCTGTGGTCGCCAAGCTTCTGCACCTTGATAAAGATATATCACTTGAATGGAGATATATACTTTATATACAGTAAACAATTTCCTCTACAGAAAGAATGATTAACAGAGGAGAATGTCTTTTATCTCGTGTGCTAATTTACTGTTGAAACTAGAACTTGAGAACAAACATCACATTTTAAAGGCTCATAAATTGCATAGACAAAACATAAATTCAGCATTCTTGTGATTGATGAAATACATTAATAAGTTCAGTAAAATAAAACCATTAGAGAATAAATAACACATTTTACAGGAGATGGTAAATTGTCTATAAATATATATAATCCTTACCTTCTCTAAATATTCTGGATCCTATCACTTGGTTCCGTTAATAGATTAAATTACTACAAGAAAATCTTAGTTACCTTATAGATGACCCTTCCAATAAGTTATGGTCTGGTACGCAAACTAATTCCTCTTCCTGATAACCAAGATATTCCAAACAAGAAAGCTTTATCCTTTAGAAAGTTACACTTTATTATGAACATAGTATATGGAAAATATGTTAAAACAGTATAGTATTCATAATCTACGTGTATTTTTCCATTTGTAAAATAAGACAAATATCCATTCCATATAAACACAGTTTGCACACTAGATTAAATATTCTAGCCACGAACATGTAGTCAGTGTGTGATCAGGAAATAGTTTGGCTGTGACTTCAGGTGTCCATCCACCCCAACATGGATAGTCAAGACAACTATGGATAAAACAAGGTTAGGGCTTCACTTGGCCAGTTTGAGATAGAGACAAAGAGGTAGCTATACACCACTTGTTGATCTCTGTTTATTGATGTATTCACATCTATTGCTCATTCACGTGTTACTACATTGCTATAATATGTAACAATCATATGAGAAACCTGAATATAAAGTATGAGGCCAGCATACAACCATTCCATTCAGGTATGATAGCTGTTTAGTTACTCTCCTGAGGATGATTGGTTTCCATGATTTCATAAGGTGTGTGGTCATATGCACATTTTCTCTCTACCCATATGAGAAGACTCCTTAAAAGGGGAAGCTTTTCCTTCAGTGATGTCACCCACTTTGGGAGACATTGGTTGATCTTCTTCATGGAACCCCTAGATTCTATTCTCTCATCAGAATATAGCATACAACTGTATACTTCATGTACCTAGCTGTGAATATTACATTGGTCCCACATCAAGGGCAGGGATAGCAAAGTGGCAAAAGCATTGGTTCTAGATTCAAACTCATTGAAACCCTACTTACTGCTTGCTAGCCATTTTGCATCAGTCAAATTATGAACTCTAAGCCTCACCTTTACCCATTAAACAGAGTTGATAATCCTTACTTCGCTAAGAGATATTTTGACTTGGTTGATAAGCTATGTAAAAGTGCTGGCATGATGTCGGTAAGAGGAAAATTAATGAAAGAGAGCTACAATATAGAAAACAAAACACTATTTTCTATTGAATCTGGCTACTTGTAGATTGCTCCAAATAGCATCCTTAAATGGGTAAAGATCAAAGACCACTATAAAGTAAAATGTCATCTCATTGCCTGAAGAATTTCTCTTGTCCTCCATGAGCTACCACTGACGACACTTCACCCGGTGGCTATACAAGGTGCTCTTCCTGTTGACTTAGAGCCACCATCTGTTCCAGCATTATAGGTCCATTCTCAGCAAGTCGAGATTTTGGGTTTTTGCTTGTTGCTATTTTTTTCTTCATCACACTTGGTGAAAGCCTTTAGT